ATAGGTACCTACCTAGGCGATCATAAATATACGTATAGGTACCTACCTAGGCGATCATAAATATACGTATAGGTACCTACCTAGGCGATCATAAATATACGTATAGGTACCTACCCAACTTCCCTCCGACCACTGAGCTGATGGCTGTAGTTATATTGTCTGTGTGTCCATTGGCTGTGTATTCCACATGCTGAAACAGTGTGGCCTTGACCAACCCGCAGTCCTTTGTGCTCTTGTTTACGGCTTCCAGGTTGATAAAGATCTGTAAGAATTTAAAATATTAAAAAACCTTTTGATTTATTTCAGATTTAAAACATTTCACGTCTTATATCCGCAACAATTCTTTAAGAACCTCAGATTTCTTATATCTGAAAAGATTTGTAAAGAGCCTCTGGTTTCTTACATTTTTAAAACAGTTTTCTTCTTATATCTGTAACGATATTTTAAAAACCTCTGATTTTTTTTCAAAGAACCTCTGGTTTCTTACAGATTTAAAACAGTTTCTTTCTTTTACTACTAAGAGGCATGCTTGATTCCTATGACCAATTAAAACAATTTTCTTGTGTTTCCACCATTTTTTACAATCATAGGAACAAATATCTGTGCACCACTCCAAACACATGTCCACAAATCAACACAAACAAAAATCAAATCGAAAAGTAAGTAGAACGCATAGTGGTCACGGAAAAGGTGCTACCTCTGCGCCACACAGCTGAGTTGCGCCTTTTGCTGGTGACGTTGAGGGCTATTTATGTCCCTGTGGTGAGCAAGAAGTCTCATATATTTGATTATAATAACAAAACAAATCAATAAAACAAACTAATTAACAAACCACATTACATCTTTGAACAAACCCACAGCTTACTTTTGAAATGCAGAACGAGAAATATATAATCCAGGGCGACAATTCCAAACAAAAGAAATTTTAAAAAATAGGAGAGGAAATAAAGTAGCAAGACTTTTGAATTACATAAACATGCTCTTCTGGATATCTACATCAGACGTATGCCACCCC